AAGTATCCTCACAGTAAGAAACAAAAAAAAAAAGATAGCTATGTGAGGTGAGGGATATTTTAATTAGCTTGATTGTGGTAATCATTTTGTACATCTTGAATATATTCAATTTTCATTTGTTAATTATACCTCAACAAAGCTGAAAAAAGGGGGGAAATGAAAAATGCATGGTAGATGCTATTTATTCTGTTTGAATAAAAGTTATCACAACATGAATTACTTAAGATAGAAAAACCTAACAGTTCAAATTATAAGAAATCACACTGAAATCAATCAACATTATATTTTTAAATAAGATACTAAGCTAGTGATTCTCACCTTACTTACAACTTTAAAATTCCAGTTCCTCAGCAACTATTCCAGAAGTAATGAATCTGGAAATCTGAGGGTGGGGTCACAAGCGCATCTTTTTTAAAGCATTGAAGTTGATTCTGATGTCCTGCCAAGAGATGAGAAACCGGCCCTACAGAAGAGACAACTGAGGGCCTTGTTACTCAAAATGTGGCCCCGGGACCACCAGCAGTAGCATCACTGGGACCTTGTTAGAAATGCAGAGTTGGCCAGGCGCAGTGGCTCACGTCTCTAATCCCAGCACTTTGGGAGGCCCAGGCGGGCAGATCATATGAGATTGGGAGTTTGAGATCAGCTTGGCCAACATGGAGGAACCCTGTCTCTACTTAAAAAATACAAAAATTAGCCGAGTGTGGTGGCAAGCACCTGTAATCCCACCTACTCGGGAGGCTGATCCACAGGAAGATTCTTCTACCCAAAACCTACTACATCATATCTGCATTTGAACAAGATCTTCAGGTGATCTGTAGACAAAGTCTGAGAAGCACTCTTTAGAGTTCCCACTGCTACAGAGAAGTAAGAAATACCAAGCCATGTTACAAAATTGAATACCTCATGAAACTTTCTATAGAGGAGAAACAGGAATGGAACAAGGTGGGAGATAAAATGTTACTTGTGATATAAAGGCATGTCACATTATTAAGCATCTAATTAAGAGTAATATTCAAATAGAAGTTTGCACATTTTATTTTAGAGATAAGGTCTTGCTCTGTCACCCAGGCTGGTGTGCAGTGGCGCAATCATGACTCACAGCAGCTTCAAACACCTGGGCTCAAGCAATCTTCCTACCTCAGCCTTCGGAGTAGCTGGGACCATAGGCACACACCACTGGGCCCAGCTAATTTATTTTATTTTTTACAAAGATGGGGTCTTGCTTTGTTGCCCAAGCTGTGCACATTTTAAAACTTGCAATAGCATTCCTTATTCCAAATGAACCCCACTTCCAGACGCACCCTCCACTGGCAATAGTTATACTTTAACTAAGAAATGAATCTACCTTGTAATCTCCAGATAGCTCCAGTAGTCTCCACTGAGCTAATGTGTATGTCGAGGGGAGTCGTTGTGAAGGAATGAAGAAACAAAGGGTGTGGTGGCAAGATAAGACAGGATCATTTACATGGGTGGCCCTCTGCTGGGGGCCTTTGAGTGTTATGTGAACACCTCTGCACTAGTTTCAAAGGACTATTTGGAAATGCTGACATTTATTGCCAGAAAAACTAATTCTCTACATCTTGTGCAAACATTTTCCTCTGAGCCCTTTGTTCTTGGCCAGCTCTCAGAGAAAAAGCGGTTAACTATCATCCAGTATAATGATTCCTTGATTAATGTATCTTCTGGAAACAAAGCTCCAGTATAATGAAGGCAGCCATATTGAAAACAAATGAACTCTCAGTCCTGTGCAGCAGCCCTGGCATGCATTCTAAGGCTCATCAGCAATGCAATTGTTAATCTGCTCAAATGCATCAGAGCAGGGACAGCATCACCTCCCTTCACAGCTTCTATTTATTTATTCTGAATTAAGTTGGCACTAGGTAAAATGACAAAACCAGAAAACTATATTCATATTCTAAAAGCTTCCTTTTTGGTACCCTTCAGCTTGCCCAAGGATGGCCATAACCACCTTCAAAAACTACACATCACACATGAACACTTGAAGTTTACAAGCATATCCCCCATAATGAGCCTTCAGAGTAGTTAGAGCATGAATAAGTCCCATTCCAAAGATGTAAAAAAATGGTGGAGCGGGGGCCTCATAAAACCTAACCGATGTGTCCAAGGTCACACTATAGTAAAGTACAAAATAGCAACAAGAATCTAGGGATCTTAGGGTAACTTCATTATAACAAAGTATATTACAGCTTGGTGGTAAGAGGAGGGAAACAATAAGATCAAGTTAGAATCTATCAGTTAGGAATTGCCGACAGCTGCCAGTTGAGGCCTATGATAACCGGGACTTAAAGAAGCTAGAATGTCTTGTTCCTTCCTTCCAAATAGAGGAGGAGGCAGGCAGGCAATCAAAACTCATATGGTGACTCTATTATCAGTAGGGACTGCAGGGCCATCTGTTTTTCTGCTCCACCATTCTCAGTGCTTGGCTTCAACCTCAAAGTAGCCTCATGGCCCAGGATGGCTACTGTGAGCTGCACAGCCTTATTCCTTGTAGGACGTGGGAGGAAGGTGATAAGGGGAAAGGGGTATTCTGTGCAGTTACGGGAACCCCATTTAAAGAGCTTTCCTGGCAATGCCACTCAACAACTTTTACTTGTATCTCATTAACAGGCTGGAAGTAGCAGCTTCATAGGCGGGTACACTGCCACATCCAGAAATACAGGGGTTCTATTGACCAAAAAAGGAGGAAATGAGGAAAAAGAGGCAACCAGGAGTATATGCCACAGAATCCTATTCTGTCACTCACTTGCTGTGTGACCTTGAGGAGACTATTTACCCTTTCTAGGCCTCAGGTTCTTCATCTGCTAAATGAAGGAAACAGGGCCGGGCTCAGTGGTTCATGACGGTAATCCCAGCACTTTGGAAGGCCAAGGTGGGCGGACCACCTGAGGTCAGGAGGTTGAGACCAGCCTAGCCAACATGGTGAAATCCTGTCTCTACCAAAAACACAAAAAATAGCCAGGCGTGGTTGCGTGCACCTGTAATTCCAGCTATTCAGGAGGCTGAGGCAGGAAAATTGCTTGAACCTGGGAGGCAGAGGTTACAGTGGGCCAAGATTATGCCAACGTACTTCAGCCTGGTCAACAGAGACAGACTCTATCTCAAAAAAAAAAAAAAAAGAAAAAGAAAAAAAAAAAAAGGCCGGGTGTGGTGGCTCACACCTGTAATCCCAGCACTTTGGCAGGCCGAGGCAGGCAGATCACAAGATCAGGAGATCGAGACCATCCTTGCTAACACAGTGAAACCCCGTCTCTAATCAAAACACAAAAAATTAGCTGGGCATGGTGGCACGTGTAGTCCCAGCTACTCGGGAGACTGAGGCATGAGAATCACCTGAACCTGGGAGGCAGAGCTTGCAGTGAGCCAAGATCTCACCACTGCACTCCAACCTGGGTGACAGGGGGAGACTCCATCTCAAAGAAACAAATGGTTAAAAACAACAACAAAAAAAGAAGGAAACAGTCACACCTACTTCACAGGATTGGTACCAGGACTATATGAGAAAAATACGCTGAAAACAACTGGAATTGTTTCAGCACCCAGTGCATAATAAATATTAACTTGTTATTTGATTATCTTAGCCCAGTGCTTTTCCAAATTCCTTTCCTACTCTAACTTCTTCTCCATTTCCAAAATTGGAAAGGAATTTATTAGTCATTTGTACCTGCTGACAGAGGACTCTAGTGTAAATGAGTCTTAGTCATAGGTCACCTCAATCAGACAAATATATTTCATGCCTTTTCTAATTATAAAATGAAATTATTTCCCAGACATCCATACAGATCAGGTATTTTAGACAGAATTAGGATGGAGAAATTGAGCTTACATTCTCCAACGGGGGTGCCTAGAGACAATCCTAAACAGCTTTGGAGAGGCCAAACAAACTAAGGGGGTATTAAAGAATTTACGCTGGTGCAGTGGTGTGTGGTTGCAATCCCAGCTACTTGGGAGGCAGAGGCAGGAAGATCCCTTGAGCCCAGGAGTTTGAGTCCAGCCTGAACAACATAGCAAGACCCCATTTCTACAAAAAAATGGGCCTCTCTCAAGCAAAATAATTCCCCCAAAATTATGTAGATACTCTACCTTTAAAGCAGTATAGCATACCTCTTTACTCCTTAAGTGTAGCATAACTCTTACTCCATAGTGACTTTCTTTACTTCCTACTGTATGGAAAGAGAGAAAAAAGGCTTAACTTTTTTTAAAAAAATTCTTTTTAAGGACTACTACAATAGGGTCTTGCAGTGAAGGAGGGAGAGTGGACGCCAATGCCAAAAAGAGTAACTTTAGAGCAAAGAAACTTCACGAACACTACCTCTGCCAGGTAATCAAGGTCAACACCAACAGGTAAGTCGTGATAATAATATGTACCCTTGAATTATGATAAAAATGGCACTTTACCTGTGATCTTCCTCTCAAACACCCGTATGCCAGTCTGATCATGAGAAAAATATCAGACAAATCTTAACAGAGGGACAACATATAAAACATGTGACCAGTACTCTTCAAAACTGTAAGGGTCATCAAAATCAAGGAAAATCAGAAACTCTCATAGCCAAGGGGAGCCTCAGGAGACATGACAACTAAATGTAATATAGTCTCCTACATGGGATACTGCAACACACACACAAAAAACATTAAGCAAAAACTAAGGAAATCTGAATCAAGTATGGAGCTTAGCTAATCATATATCAATATTAGTTCATTAATTGTGACAAATCTATCATACTAATGTAAGATGCTAATAATCAGGGTGTGGGGTATATGGGAACTCTTCATACTATCTTCACAATTTTTCTGTAACTCAAAACCATTCTAAAAAACAAGTTTTTCTAAATTTATTTTTCTTCTCAATTCATTTTTTTCCCTTGGTATAACTTGGAACACATTTTATTTTTAAAAAGAAAAAAGAAGGAAAAGAATGGTCCACGGCTCCTACCCCCACCCCTATAAGCCCATCCCCACAACAAAGGCAAGCTTACAGTTCCAGCCGCTGAGAAGCAAGGACTCATTCCAGCTTCTTCTATACAAGGGGGCCAGGCCTCTGCCAGAGCCTTCTCCTGCCTGCCCTGTGTCAAGCTATCCAAGCTTCCTCTTCAACCTTTACCCTGCCCTATGCCCTGAAACTACCAGACACATATTTTCCTCTTGTTAGCAGCATTGCAATGAAGGAAATGCTGCTATTAATTGATAGCTGCATTTCCTTCATACGCATGTCGAGTGCTATAAATTCCCCTAGAACACATTCCATGTCTTCCATTGATGAAGGGAAACACTGCCACATTGCCAGTGAAGGAATCTGCTATCTTGAAAAGGGGTCTGCATGACAAGTTATGCTAGACAATCATGCCAATGTAATTGCCCTTGCCAGGGAGACACTGTCCTGAGCTTTGCCCCTTTGGCTTCTTGTGCACCAGTGGAGCAGTTCACAGGGAGCCCAGGAGAAACTCTCCAAGATCTAACATAGTACATGGGCAAACTTTTGTAAACCAGGTCAGAAGTTATTTTTCTGCTCATCTTCTAGAATTGTAAAATGTAAAATTGGAAGCCTCATCCTTTCAATTAATAAAGCAAAAGCTAAGGCCCAGAAAGATGCTACAAACTGCTGGATGCTACAAAGCTAATTGACAGATGGGATTAGAACCAAGTATTCAAAGGATTAGTCTCTAAGCACCATTGGACGAAAAGCTGAAATGACCTAAGGGAAGACAGTGAATATGTTGTCCCCAGGATATAATATGCCAGTGAAGTTACAGGAGTGCTGGATGAATAGTGCCAAAGGGGGAAAGAAAACAGAATGAAGGGATGCACTGTGGTTAAAAATAGGTCACAGGATCGTCACCTCACCTCTGATTTGCTGAAATCACTTTGAACATAATTGATTATATCACAATAATGAGCTTTCAGTGGACAATAAAGAAAAGCTGAACACTGGCCGGGTGCAGTGGCTCACACCCATAATCCAAGCACTTTGGGAGACTGAGGCAGGCAGATCACCTGAGGTCAGGAGTTCGAGACCAGCCTGGCCAACATGGCGAAACCCTGTCTCTACTAACAATACAAAACTTAGCTGACACGGTCGCAGGCACCTTTAATCCCAGCTACTTGGGAGGCTGAAGCAGAAGAATCACCTGAACCTGGGAGTGGCGGTTGTAGTAAGCTGAGATTATGCCACTGTACTCCAGCCTGGGCAACAGAAGGATACTCTGTCTTGAAAAAAAAAAAAAAAGAAAAGCTGAACATTACTAATAGGCCATGTTAGAGTAATTCATATGGCTTAAGAAACATAAAAGAAAGAACTAGCCTCAGTCTTTGGGAGTCCTATAGAATTAAGATATTTCAAAGAGATATATGAACTCCAAAGAAAAGTAACTGCATTTGATTATTAAATGATGACACAGCAGATTTACCTTCTTTTTCGTTGGCCAACACGAAATTCATAACTATTCCCAAGTGAAGAAAAATGCAGACTCAACTGTGAAATATTTTAACAATAATAACAAAAAGGAGACAATAAGTGCTAATGCCGGATGCAGTGGCACGTACCTATAGTCCCAGCTACTCGGGAAGCTGAGATGGGAGGACTGCTTCAGTCCAGGAGTTCTGGGCTGTAGTGCGCTATGCCTATTGATGCTGAGATCAGCATCAATATGGTGACCTCTGGGGAGCCAGGGACTACCAGGTAGCCTAAGGAGGGGTTAACCGCCCCAGGTCGGAAATGGAACAGGTCAAAACTCCCATGCTGATCTATAGTGGGATCATACCTGTGAAAAGCCACTGCACTCCAGTGAGACCCCATCTCTTAAAAAAAAAAAAAAAAAAAAGGGTGCTAATAACTTTACAGGTATTTACCATGGGCTTGGCCATGTTTTAAGGACATTATATACATTAACTCATTTAGTCTTCAAACCCAATGCAATAGGATTTATTATTATTCAAATTATAAATAAAGAATGGAAGCAGAGAGGTTAGGTAACTCGTCCAAGGTCACCGAGTTAGCCAGTGGCAAGCCAAAACATGAGCCAAGAGAGTCTGATTCTCTCATGTCAGATTGATACCCACCATGTACTACTTTATATTCTTTATAGTCTTTTTTTTGAGACGGAGTTTCGCTCTTGTTGCCCAGGTTGGAGTGCAATGGCTGAGGCAGGAGAATTGTTTGAACCCGGATGGTGGAGATTGCAGTGAGCTGAGATTATGCCACTCTACTCCAGCCTGACGACGGAATGAGACTGTCTCAAAAATAGAACATGATGAGTACAGGATTTTTAAACAACATGTAAATACATACATAGTTTCTATGGAACTTAAAATAACTTTCTCAAAATAGATCAGACAACTTTGGAATTCTAATAACAAAAAACAGTAAGGTGGTGGTCCAGACAACTAATGCAGTTTTCAAAACTATCTAACTTACTTGACAAAGCCACAAACTCTGAGAGGACATGATCCGACATGCTATATGAATCAACTAAAAAAAACTCTACGACTTGTAACAAACAATAAAGGCGACTGAGGTTCAGCTATACCTAGTTGTGCAATTTTAGAGAAAGTCTTCTAACATTTCTGAGTCTCAGTTTACTCATCTTTAAAATGGAAATAATAAAACTTACTCTCTCCCCTCTCAGGTTATTGTAAGAATCCAACTGAATGCAGTTTTGAAAGCCCTTCAGAAGTAGAAAAGCACCACATAAATGTAGAATACTTCTAAAATACAGCAAGCAGCATGCAGGTGTAAATCTGTGGAGAATCAATAGTAACTGACTTGTATAACTGACTGTATTAGCAGTCAGTGTGATCACCTGATAAAACATGGACTTCCACTTCAAAAAATCCTGCATTCAAATCACCATTCTAGTATTTACTAGCTGGGGGACTGTGGGCAAGTTGCTTAAATGTTTGTGAGCCTTAGTCTTTTCAATGATAAAATGAAGAAAATAATACCTACCTCACAGGTGATAACAAAAAGAAGCACCTGGTATACCATGAACACAGTGAATGTTCTTCTGTGCCCTTGTATTGATGATACTCAAGTTAGTTCACTCAAAGCACAACAGAGAACAGTTATATCAGTCCTTCCAGGGTTTACCATAAACACATCAAAATACAGAAAGAGTAAATTTATTTAATATTTAATAAGCCCTATTATGTGCCTACTACTCCTCCAGATGTTGGGTGGAGGATCCAGAATTACGTATATCCTCCCTTTGGAGAAATAATATTAAAATGTTGTATGTCAGGCAGAGATTCTCAAATCTGTTTGAGAATCTGATGGAAGCTACAGCATTTCTCCCCAAGGAAAGCTTCAAAGCTTTCAGGGGACAATAAAGGAGATACAGAAGAATATTTTCATGACCTTGGATAGAAGTCATGTTCTTAATGGGGGTGAGGAAGAAGAGACATAAATTATAAAGCAAAAGATTCGTAAATTCATCTATACCAAAATGAAGAATTTCCACATCAAAAAAAACCATAGAGAAAATGAAAAAGTAAGCCAGAATGGAAGAGGATATTTGTAACACACATAACCAACAAAAGTTGAGATTCTTGGGTAAATTAAGAACTCCAATAAATCAATAAAAAATAATAGGCAAAAAGTTGTGGTATATAGTCATACAATGAAAACAAAAACACCAACTGGGCACAGTGGCTCACGCCTGTAATCCCAGTACATTGGGAGGCCAAGGCAGGCGGATCACCTGGGGTCAGGAGTTCGAGACCAGCCTGGGCAACATGGCAAAATCCTGTCTCTGCTAAACATACAAAACTTAGTCAGGCGTGGTAGCACACACCTATAGTCCCATCTACTTGGGAGGCTGAGGCAGGAGAATCACTTGAATATGGGAGGCGGAGGTTGCAGTGAACCGAGATCGCACCAGAACACTCTAGCCTGGGTAACAGAACAAGACTCTGTCTTTAAAAAACAAACAGAAACCCTAGCTACATGTAACAATACAAATAAATCTTACAAACTTACTGTTGAATGAAAAAAAGCACCTGTACTAAAGTGAGATATTAGTATAAACAACATTGTCAGTAGGCTTTATTCTCCCTTCTTCCCCCTACCCAAGCTATCCTTCCACCAGGGTGACTATCCTTGATTTGCCTGGGACTGAGTAGTTTCCATGAATGGAAACTTTCAGTTCTTGTTTGTTTTTGTTTCCTGAGGCAGAGTCTCGCTCTGTCTCCCAGGCTGGAGTGCAGTGGCGTGATCTGGGCTTACTGTACCCTCTAGCTCCCAGGTTCAGGCAATCCTCCTGTCTCAGCCTCCCGAGTAGCTGGAAATACAGGCACCAGCCACCATGCCCAGCTAAATTTTTCTATTTTTAGTAGAGACAGGGTTTCACCATGTTGGCCAGGCTAGAATTTTCAGTTTTAAAAGCAGAAACAGTCCTGGGAAACTGGGAAGAGGTGGTCACCCAATCTTGTCTGCCTATTCCCCCCAGCCTCCACTTCTTGCCCTTGGCTAGCACTAACTAGCACTAACACAGTGGCACTAACACGTCAATCTTAATTGTGCAGATAAAATGAAGAATACGAAATCAATAACACAAAGAAAAAAACAAGAAACAAAAATGAAGTTGATCATAAATGCCAGGCTGTATAAATCAACCATGAAATCCTTGAAGCTACTGAGGAAACCCACAATGGAAACTAAGTCTTACATGTTAGTCTGTGGAAATCTCCATGTTTATCTCATGGGTTTTCATCTGATCTGCTAAAAGGGACAAATTAGCAAAAGGAACTATTTCTTAGAATGCAACAATCAGTGTCGGGGTGTGATTTCTCTCTTAATTACATGGGAGTTTGCAAATTGCATCATCCTTTTGAACCAGCAGCATCAGTATCACCTGGGAATGTGTTAAAAATGAAAATTCTCAGGCCCCATCCCAGTCCAAGTGACCAGATACTGAGTGTGTACAAGGCCTGATACATGTGGCAAAAGTTTGAGAACCACTGGATTAGTGTACCCATATCCTCTCTTCCTTATTTGTGATGGGCATTTGGTGGATTAGTAAGACACTCCAAGAATTCAGGTGTCGTGTTTCATATTACCACCACTTTCATATTGGTGCTAATATGTTCTTTCATATTATCACCACTTTTTGTCAGGTCAGGCAATTATTTGGATACCACTATCAACAGTAAATATTTCACATCATACCAGATTTACGACACCTTACCATCGGCGCATGAAACCCAAACAATGGAATACTTTCTGCTCCTCATTTACTTTCCTATGTCTGCTTATTAATCTCATGAATCATGAACTGCTACAGAATTAACCGTTGCTGGCCAGGCACGGTGGCTTATGCCTGTAATTCCAGCACTTTGGGAGGCCGAGGTGGGAGGAGTTCAAGGCCACCCTGGCCAACATGGTGAAACCCCATCTCCACTAAAAATACAAAAATTAGCCAGGCATAGTGGTGTGTACTTGTAATCGCAGCTACTCAGGAGACTGAGGCATAAGAACCGCTTGAACCTGGGAGGTGGAGGTTGCAGTGAGCTATGACCATGCCACTACACTTCTGCCTGGGCGACAAAGCGAGACTGCCTAAAAAAAAAAAAAAGAATTAACCTTCACTGAATTGACCTCAGTACCTGATTGCCTATAATTCTGCCAAAAAAATTATCTTAGTACCATGTTGAAGATATTTTATTACTTTAAAAGCTGGGAAACATAACAAATACATTTTATAAAGAAGGTGAGCACCAGATCAATTATCATCCTTTGTTGTAAGATGAAATTGTGATTAATCAAACCCACTTTTCTTAATATAATTTTTAAAATACATACACTTATTTACTAAGGATGCCCTACAAAGACTGTCCTGTGCTCAGAACCTGCCTGGGGCTCTTGGCCTTTTAATGAAAAGAACTCATTCCAGACATTTCATAATCTCAAGTCATTACTTGCTTGCTGTTGGGTTGATAAAACACAAGATGATTCCACTCATTTGATTTTAAAAAGGTAAAACTAAACAATATTTTATAGGGATACATAT